CAATGGCATTAAAATACATAATTTTACATGGATACAATATTTACCTGATTCCACATAATTACGAAGGTGAATAAAAGGTGACAATTATTTTCAACTAGATAGATCAATTGTTTAATAATGGCACTTCTGATCGAACCGGTGCTTCCTTTCTGCAGCCATGCTGAGTAATGTTCTCTAACACTTTTTGAAAGGACGCGTATACAATGACCTTTTTACCTAGCTTCCGCACGAGCAGGTGAACTGGTCTGTACATATTGAATTGGTCATATGCGAGAGTTTGTCCTTCGTGTTGTTTCGAAGTAACGTGCGGCTAAGGAATGTCCCTCTTAGTGTTACTGCATGGAAGATCTTCTTAAACGAGATGGCTATTCTCCTCTTTACGATATCAGCTGTATAATCTCCCCTGGAATTCAGATTCAAATACAGAGTTTTCTTTGGGGATGAATCGGTTTCTTTTGTTTTTTTGTTTAGGTTTTATACTATTGTCGTAAAAACGTGCGGGGTAACCATTTTTAGCTAGGATATTTTTTAAAAATAGGAGCTCCTCTCTCTAGCAATCACTGTTGAAGATTTTTCTAGTGCGATAGGTTACTGCGATGATGAAAGCTCGCTTTCGGCTCAAAGGTATCCAAATATAGAAATGCGTTAGTTGGCCGTTCCACTTTGGTTTTCTGTGTATGGATCTCTTCAGGGTTCCATCATCTCTTCTTGTTAATTCCACGTCCAGAAATGGAATCTTTGAATAGGTGAATCTATATTCACACCTCCTAACTTTCATTTCAAGTTGAAAATTATTATTTCAGTTTGTTGTCATGCTCATTTTTACACGCTTCTAGTTCATTCTAACCTTGTGTTAATTTGTTTCTAAGCCTCTCGTAAACCATATCTAGTTGAAAATAATTGTCACCTTTTACTCGCCTGCGAAATTCTGTGGAATCAAGTAAAAATTGTATCTATGTTGAATTATGTATTTAAATACGATTGTACAGCTTTGGAAAGGTATCTTTAGTGAACTTCGTGCTCTCTTCTTTCTGATGTTCTAGAGGGTACCTCTCTGCTCAACTACCTGTGAAATGATGTGAATCAATACCCTATCACATATAGTCTACGTATAAAACTTTGTTCTACTTTTCTATCAGCTTTGATATGGAAGCACACAATTAGATATGATAGAGAAGATTTGTAGCTCAGGTGGATAATTTTGATGGGGTTTTGTTCTCTCTGAGCTGGAAGTACTTCAAATTGAAGTATGCGCTTAAGATGTCACCCAGTAGGGCGATGAAAGCTTCGGAAACTAACCATCCAGCTCAGAGAACAAAACCACATCAAAAAAAGCACACATTATTGTGATTATCAGTTAACTGTAATAATGCCAATCACTTCACCTCTTCAAGTAGTTATTATGTACACTGGTGTAAATCCTTCTTTGAATCATTATTATTTGTGGAATGTTTTTCACTTAATTGCCCTTGACTATTTGATCAAGGTTATCTGATTCAAAGTATTGATCGAGAGTGTGTAGTGTATCCTAACTATGCTGAGTGATGTGAGAGAGCTGTACACTAGAGTCAAGTGTTAGCTGATATTAGATACTGTTAGAAATCAATAAGATGAGAAACAGTTTTGGTGTGCGTTTTAAACATGATGAACGACATCGGTAGTTTATTATTTGGTGCATTCACATTTAGTGGAATGACTCAGAGATTCCAACATCAAACTGAATTAATCCAAATGGAATAGGACTTGTGAAACAAGATAAATGTGAGAGTAGAATTTACTCATTGTGGTAGGAAGTAATTCTTTAATGCACACACACAATTCGATTGAAATATTTTTTATTTGATACTCTTGTTTGAGTGTCACTTACATTTTGTGTGGTTGCTAATTTACTTTTACTTTTATCGTTGTTGGTTGAAAAGATGTGCCAGCTTTCTACCAATAAGTTTTTACAACTCCTAGTCAAACCCCACACCTGTCCATTTAATGGAGAACACATTCAGAGTCGAATAGTAAATGCATTGTGAAAGAATATGAGGGAGCTTATATAATTATATAAATATATGCCTTCGGAATTTTCGCTTTCTTTGCAGGATTAGTGTCAGCTTGCTCTTGATTTTATTTCTGGATGAGTTACCGGGATCCGTCAATTCAATAATTACTTAAAGTAATCAGGTTCCCTTCAACATCTATTATTGGTTTCATAATCTAGGTTGATCTCTTTCCGGATAGTGAGTAACCTGGTTATCTGATATTATACCCTGAGACCTCCCCTGCCTGAGGCTTTTTCTGCTTCAGTGGCTAGTGTATTGTAGAATTGTCTTTTGTCTTTCCTAATAGTCTTCTTTACTACTTTATTCAGTGCAGCGTACACTGAACTCAGCTTCTCCTTCTGTTATCCATCTATGCATTGACTCATCTTCTCTTTCACCATCCGCCTCCCCTTTCTTCTTTGAGCATCCAACTATTTCTTGTAAGTCATTCCATGTCTTGTTTCTTCCATCTTCCTAGAACAGTTTCCTTAAATATCTCTTTCAAAGAGTTCCAGTGTTCTTCCATACAGGTTTCCTCAGTGACACCACGTAGTGTCCCCAACTTTGCTGTGGTCTGATCTGTAGTTTTGTCCTTTAGTTTATGAATGTTGAACTTGAACTACGGTGGTCTGTTTCCAGTTTTCACATGGATTTCAGCTTCACCTTGAATGTTGAATTAAATGCGTAGTCAGTCCCAGTTGCATTAACATAACATAACATAAGCTTTATTCCAAATCAGTACTTGTGATACAGAATGGAATTCTCAGCATTTTACTACAATATTGCATCCAGTTTTTACATTAACAATAAATAAAGTTCTACATAGATTAAAGTTATCTCAACAACATATTAGTATGTCGGTAGCAAAGCCAAAATTAAAGTGTTTGAAGGTGTTAGAAAAGTAGATACTACTAGCATATTTACTGGCGTAAGCGATAGCAAAATGGTCGAGATATACAGAGTGTGAAAGAACGAACAAGAATGTTTTAAGTAGAGTTTGCAAGGAAGAGAGAAACAAAACAGCACATAACAAAAATAAATACAGAATGAAGAGCGAGAAAACGTTGTACCTATAAATGATGTGAGTTGGAAAGACGAGATCCATTGGTTCTACTGACTATTTAATAAGTTAAAGGTTTCATGCCTGATGCATTCTTTATCGCACAGAACACGGGCTAGGTAGGGTATGGATGAGTTTTTGTACTTACTAGTGCGGGCATATAGTTTCCTATATAGGCTTCTTGTTTTCCCTGAAGAGATACATGGGGAGAGTTGTGAATGTAGAGGGTGTTGTGAGTCAGATAAAATGGATTTCGCCCATTTTTCACATGAGTCCATGTGCCTGTCCACCAGAATATTAACAAGCTGGCTAAGTGGCAAACTGCTTACCCTGCTGACAACCTTTAACATCCTACGTAATAAGGTATAGTCTTTCTTCAATAGCCCAGGAAAGACTAAGGGGGAGCAATAGAGAATAATAGGCAGAATACGGGAGTTAACAAATTGTAGGAGTAAGGGTTGGGTTACACCAGAATGTCTTAACTTCTTGATGTAGAAGGTAAGACGGTATATTTTCTTGGAAATCGTCAAGATATGAGACGACCAGGAAAGATCAGAAGATAGAGTGACGCCTAGGTATTTAATTTCCGACTTGGTTTCTATTTCACTGCCATCTATGTTGCACACCTCGTGAGTGCTAACCAGTTTGTTTAGGTCAGATTTATGCCTAAAGGTGAAATTAACTGTTTGGCATTTGGAGGGGTTTAAGGTTAGACCGTTTTCCTTGGACCATTGGCTAATTTCTGATAAGAAGCCATTTAGTTTAGAGCAGTCACTTTGACATTTGACAGGTAAAGATACAGTTAGGTCATCAGCATATTTGACAAAGTTAATGTCATTTGAAGACGGTAGGTCATGTAGGAAGAATGAAAAGAGAAGTGGGGAGAGTACAGCACCTTGGGGGACACCAGCTTCAGTGAGCACAGCAGAGGAGGATTGGCCTTTGTATACGGTGTACTGCATTCTGTTTGAAAAGTAGGAATGCAACCAGTTAGTGACCCAGGACTCGGTTTGTGTCATGGAGAGCTTATTTAGCAAGAGACTTCTAGGTACAGAGTCGAAAGCAGAAGTAAAGTCAAGAAACGTGCAGCGGACATATTTGGCACCTTTGTCTAATGATGAGACAATACTGTTGTGTAAGACGGCTGCAGCGTCTAAAGTACTCCTACCCTGTCTGTAGGCAAATTGTTTGGGGTCTTCGAAGCTTTTAAGGGAGGGTTCGAGTTTAAGAAGTACTAGTTTTTCCATGAGCTTTAGAAACGGGGAAGTGATGGCGATGGGTCTGAACTTTACGTTCTTGCTATTTCCAGGTTTAGGGACAGGGACTATTTTAATGTCTTTCCATGGAACAGGTACAACGTTTTCGGAGAAAGAAGCATTTAGGATATTAGTTAGAGGAAAACATAAAGCATCTGCACATTGTTTTAGAACATATGCAGGTATGCCATCAGGGCCATTTTTTTTTCTACTGTATATAGTCAGTGAGTCTAACATATGATAAGGCAGTCGTCTTAAATGAAAATAAAAGTCACCAATAAAAGGAAGTCCTCATGAAGAAAATACTGCTCAGACACCTGTGTATGAAATATCCTGTGAAATCACCAAAAAACCAGTTTATAAATATACACAAGGAATAGTTAATATTATCCGTTCAAATATACCAAAATATAATTTATCATATAATCAATACATATCACTTAAATCTATTTCCTTCGAAAATCCCCATTGCTGAGTATATTTCTAATTTCATAGAAATAGAACACTTTTAGTTAGCCATATTCAATCTGTCTGTCTAAAACTAACCTATGACCTTCACAATCGAGACAGCCCACGCAAAATGAGATAAACGTGATTGGCTACTGCGGCTTGAGAAAAAGAAGGCCAGTTTTTATCCAGTCAGCATTAAGAATACATATATTAAGAAACATTTATGAGTCTGATTAATTTGATCCGTCTAAATACTTATTGATTTCATGATTCTTTGACATTGTTTTAGCAGAAAAAAAAAAGGAAAAAGAAAACCAGCAAAAACGCAGGAAACAAGGCATGTACAATTCCTGAGTAGTTTTCCTTTCAATCTACGTGTTTTTTTGTTTAAATCAAAAGACGTATTAATCATGTACAAAACTCTGACTGATTGGTTGTCTGAACAACTTCTTCCGCCTCAGCCTGATCCAAGAGTTGCTGACTACCCATTAATGTCTACATGGACACCATCTGTACTGATTTCGCTAGTTTACAGCATCGGTGCATACATTTGGCGCAGGGAATTAATTCGAAGACATGGAAAGACGGAAAGAAAGTATTCATCAAAGGAGAAAGTTAAACATCACAAAAAACGGTCGGTGCTAACATATGCAATGATAATGTACAACTTTACTATGGTACTATTTTCTATCTACTTAACAATATCAAGTTTCTATTCAATTTATCAACTTGGTTATGGTTTAGGCTGTATTGAACTGCCAAATCCAGAGGATAAACGGACAGATAAACTAGTCTATTTGGGTTATTTGTTTTTTATTTCGAAATTTATTGAAATGATGGATACGGTGTTCTTTTTGTGTCGAGGGAAAGTGGATCAAGTTACTTTCTTGCACGTATTTCATCATGCATCAATGCCACCATCAGTATGGTGGGGTTTAAAATATGCACCTGGTAAGTATTGAATATTATATATATATATATATATATATATATATATATCTGACTTGATGAAATGATTGTTTAAATTGTTTTCAGTCAAACAAGCGGGATTCTTGATTTATTGTAGGGCTTCTGTTAATTTAACTTGATTTCTTTTCAATTAGGCTTGGTGTGCTAGGTGCATGTTGGCATTTCGGGTCCAAATACGGAAGGTTCAATGATATCTGGAAGCTGATATGACGTTATTTATTTAGTTGATGTGGACTAGCAGTGAAATCGAGAATGAGAATTTCGTCTTATTTAAGACTCATCAGATGGATGTTGTGGCCTCCTCAGTGAGACTGGTCCAAATGATGAGTGCTGGTTTTCACTCTTAAGGAGAAAACCATTACTCATTAGGGAGTGCTAGTACATTCAGGAGATGAAATGCCTATCCAGGATTCTATTACTAGACAGCGTTAGTAAAATTAGCAATTTATCATTGTATTCAGAGTAGGTTGATGGAAAGTCTGCTCATATTGATTTTATTGTCGGTATTGCCTTCTTAATTTTCCGCTTATTGCTCCGTTTGTCAATCTGATACGTCTGAAATAATTCAACCATACTTGAAATAAAATATCTTTGACATTTATTTCACATAGACAGATTATTTAAGACGCTTAAATTTATAAGTTTATCCGATGATGCCAAATAAAGCCTAACGGTCTAGGCCCATCGGTTGGAAAATCAGAATTTTCAAATATTGATTTTGTAAGGATTTTGTTTCGATTATTTGGGGGAAACCATCATGAACTGACGTTGTTTAGATAACCATTGCAGAAACTGGGAGTACTGGACAGACAGCTGTTTTGTCAGCCTAATTTAAGGGGTCTTCATCAGTAGACATCCACACCACTAGGTCCGAACTTAGAACTTTCTGGTCACAAGGCTAATGAGCCTGTAGACCATTCAGTCGCTGGGTCCCAATCCAGTGACCAGCCCATGAATTCTAACTTTTGTCAGTTCATGACATAGTGCAACCAATTCACAATGTCTTCTTCGAAGAGAAACTGTTCTCATCTTCGACCTGATGTACCCCACTGGTCACGGCTTCCCACAGTAACCCCAGATTAGCTGCCTAAATAGGGCCAGTTGCTAGTGAGCACCAGATCAATTTTCAAGTATTAGCAGAAGTTAGGATTCATCGGGTCAGCTCCCAGTGGCTGAATAATCCACAAGCTCGCTAGCCTTGTAACTAGAAGGTCCTAGATGAGAACCCTGGTGGCGGATGCTTAATGATAAAGAGTTCCAAACTAGGCTGCGAAACAGCTGGCCGTCCGATACTCCCAAGTGGTTTTCCAAATGGTTCTCTAACGAGTGTCAGCTCATGATAAAATCCTCCATAGTATCAGAATAATTTGAATTTCACACTTCAGGTACAGTCGAACGGTGAGGTATTTCTGTGTCTCCAAGGAAATTTACGTTTCTTTGAAATTAGAACCTTCTTTTACACGGTCGAAATTGTATTTTTTGTAAAATAATAATTCTTCTCCTTACAAACAATAAAAATTACATAGAATAGAGTTTCCAGCACTGTTCACTTCTTTCAGATTTATGTCCCTGCATAGATGAAAACAAGTTAGATGACTGCAAAACACTGACATTTGTGTCTGCCTCTAAACAACACCAGTACTGAATATAGTATGGATGGATTCTGATATTTAGTAGCCGTACAAGCATGAACTCTGATGAGATTTGCGAATAAAGATGATTTCAGCCAAATGCTTGCAGGAATTACAATGCCTGTCAACCAACAACAATGTCATTTAGTAGAGTCAAAGTTACACACACCACTAATCCTAATCACACTCTTTAGACATTTGTAAAAAATTATATTTGTAAAATCTCAGCGAGATTGAAATGAGTAATTCCAACGTTTCCTGAGTTCGGCAATCTGGTTCGAACTTCTTCGGGGGAAATTAATCAAAATTAACATAACCGAGGTTTATATATTAAAGGAACGTTTCTCGTTTTTAAAAACTTTGTCTAATCATGATTCATAAAACAAGTAACAACAAGTATAATAAACAAAATTGTATGAGCTATGATCAAAATTTGACCGCGGACTTACAAATATTGGTCTACCTTTGTTAAACACTTTAAACACAATGTGTATGTGTGTGTGTCTGTGTGCGGGTAAACAGTTGTAAAACAATCTCTTAACGTCTCCGTAAGTAGATATAGACAGTCGGTAATTTTGACCAAGTATTATTAATTAGTGATACATATCCATTCTTATTTATTAATCAGGATTTCCTATGCGTCAGCTAACATCAAACCTACATGTCTGTTCAAACTGTTAGTATCTAGAATTTTCTGATTAGACGTACTTTCAAAATTATGGTGTTTAGGATTAGAGTTTAGTTGAAGCACCCTGTCGAACTTATTGCTTTGTCTTTTTTCTAAATATTGAGCTGCTTTATTCGACTTACTGGATTTATCAGGTGACTCTGCAGCTACGGATTTAGGATACGCATTCTGTTGCAAAGAACGAAGAGTGAAAACACGATGTTTGTGCTAATTACGTAGTTTCTTTGCTAATTTAATTCGATTGCAAAAAAATTCATTAAATGAACTGTCGTCAAGATTTGACAGAATAGTTCTAAAATATTCGAGTTCAGAGTGCGAAGTAGACATTCGTAAAAAATTATATTTGTGTTTGACTTTATGTGATAGTTGGTTTTGAGAAGATCAAAAATAAATAAGGACGAAAAGTAAATAAGTATGTGTAGACTTTATGAAATCATAAATTTTGAGAGAATAAGTTGAGTTATGTCAGAAAGTTCCACCTTTCTTACATAGTAAATTTAATCTGTTTGAATTTTACTTAATTCATATGTTGGATGGAGTTATGTTTATTTCACTAGATGGTTAAAGGCGGTCAGTAGGAAGCCTCGCTTCACCTAGGATTCGTCCTAGTTGGCACTCATCAGTTAGCAAGGCGTATCTGCAGGCTTGAAAGGAACTCGTGTCCCTTCTGATGTTCAGACCCGCTCCACCCAATGCTGCAGTCAGAGACGTTACCACTGAACTAATCTAGCTCCAAGGCTTCCTACCAATTGCCTCCACTTATCTAATATCATCAAATCAATGTACACCATGATTGCGAGCTACCTAGTGGCAAGGTGGCCACATTGCAAATGTGACTCAGAAAATTCAGTCTGCATCAAAGTAAGGACTAGACACATCACACTAGTTACTGACTGGCGTCCAATCAAAGTATGCTTTTTCCATCCATCTTCAGGTCAATATGATCAGAAAACTAAATAGTGAACCACTACAATGTTTTGAATTTCAATCCATTTTGTGGAGTCTCTTATCAGAAACTAATCATTTTGATATTTAGGTCATTTTGCTTTCCTCATATTCTGCATCTGTCTTAACAGGATGTCAGTAATTTCAATTTCTTGGAGGATTTAATCATGAGCTGACACCAGTTAGAGAAGTACTGGAAAACCTGGGAGTACTGGAAAGGTGTTTCGTCTTAGTGTCAGACTCTTCAGCAGTACGCACCCAAACTAGTCCTAAACTTGGACGAAACAGCTGTCCAAAACTGTCTGTTAGTTTTTCACTGGTTCTCTAACTGATGTCAGCTCATGATGAAATCCTCCGTGCAATCAAACAAAAATCCCTACAAATCGAATACTCGAAAATTTCAATTTCTATTGAAAATATTTCTTCTGCCATGTGTGCCTGGGACCCTTCTTAGTTTCATAACGTGTGTTTTTTGCCAATAAAATTATCCGTTTAACTTATTCGATAAGGAAGTTTAAGCCTTCTGGAATAACTCAACCTTTCCTCTTACAACCTATTTATTCATATATTCTACCCATACTTACTTATTGTTCGTCCTTATTTCTTTATTGATCTTCTCAAAACCAACTATCATATTACGTAGAACACTGAAGACATCAGTTAGGATTAGTGGTGTGTACCTTTGACTCTGCCGACTGACTTTATTGTTGTTGGTTGACAGGCACTTTAATTCTTGCAAGTAATTGGCTGAAATCATCTTTATTTGCAAATTTCACAAGAGTTTTCACTTGTACGGCTGCTACATATCAGAATCCATCCATACCATACACAGTAGAGGTGTTGTGTGAAGGGAGACAAAAATGTCAGTGAAGAACTAACTGATAAATCGATTGTATAATGTGTGAATATTCATCAACTTATTCCTTATATTATTCTTACACATATCTATATATATATATTGTTCAATTATTGACGTTCAGTTTTCTTTGGTTACCTAATTAGTTTTTATTTGTTAAGGAAAATAGATTGTTGCAACATATCTACATGCTGATAACTTTTCAAGTGCTGGTTTGCAGGAATTTCATTTATTCCAAGTTTGACCGAGGATTTATATCAATTAGAGAAACACTGGTAACCAGCAGTGAGTAGTGAACAATTACTTCGTCCATGTTTGCGACTTTTATACAGCAGGAACCCATTGGGGATTGAACTCAAAGCGTTCAGGTTACAAGTCAGGCTCGTAGACTATTCAACTACTAACACTTGAAAACCAATCCAATGACTGATAGTGACAGGCTACTGGACGAATTTGCCTGAAGTTCTAGTGAGAAGTCATGACTAGTGGGGTTCACCACTATATCGATAGTGAAGACAAATACTCGCCTTCGATGACACTGACTAGTGATCATGCTGAAATCACAAAGTGATAGAATTTAGAATTCACAGGCTGGTCGTTGATTAGTTTCTCAGTGTCCAAATGGTGTAAAAGCTTGTCTTACAGCCAGAATGTCGTCGGTCCAGACCGCAGTTGGTGCGTACTGTTGATGAGTTTGGGACCAAGATGAAACAGCTGTCTGGTACTTCTTTGCTTTCAGTGGTTTTTTAAATGATATTATCATTTCGTGATCCAACTTAGAAAGTTATTGTTTAAAGTATACTGACTAACATATTATTTTACGAGTTGATCACGGATTGATATCAGTTAGAGAACCATTGAA